GTCAATGGCTGCTGTGACAGTGATCATCTAAATCTCAGCCTCATGATGAATAGGAAGGTCTACTGCTCTATCATAGAGAGGTTTAAAAGCTGGAATTGAAAGCAACATTCCCATGTGCTTGATGCTACAGAGGGAAGGTGAAAGTCTGCAACCCTTAAATCTCAAGCCCTGGTATGGAGGCCAGGGGATGATGTTAATGGTGAGAAGTTCTTTGCACAAAAACACAAATTTAGCCTTAGAAAACACAAGCACTGGAGGGAGACTGATATCATGGCGATATTGTGGTGAACTGCTGCACCTGCGTGGGATGGGAGGGAATGGGGACAAAGGCTGTGGGAATATATGGAAATATCTGCATGGAGCAAGAATTCTGAAGTCCTGGAGGCAGAGCAGAGGTCCTAGCCCTGCTCTGCTTGTGTTTCTTGGGCAGCTGGTGCTACAGCAAGGGTGATGCTGGGATGACCTTCGCTCTGAGATTCACTGTGAAAGAAAACTGGTACTCCCTAAGGAATAAAGAGAACCTGAAACTGATATTAAAACTATTTATATTCTACCTCATGCCAAGAAAAATATTTTACACTTAGCTTAATATCATAACTGCAAGTCCAAAACCATCACTGCTAGCTTCTAAATACAGAATAGAATCTGGGAGGAGGCAGTAAGAAAATATATGTTTTGGCTGTATCATTGCAGCAGGGAAGTAGCCAGAATTCATAATGGGCCTGAATAAAACCAGGAGTCTTAAAAGAAATACTACTTCTTAGTAGTCTTTAGACATGCAAATGCATTAAGGGCATATAAACTACATAATGTTAGCTTCAGCACAGACGGCCATTACTCTCTGGCTATAGCTTAAACTGCTCTTTTTCAATTTTTACATGGTCCTTGGGCATAGCGTAACATCAGTAACAGATGTTATCAAAGGTGCAAAAAGGAGATTTTCAACATGTCTCAGCACTAGCAAACTTGTATTACTGGTGCACCTCATGGCTGGGAAGTGTGGTAGGGCTGTGCACGAAGACTGCAACCTTGCATGTGGCCAGAACAAAATACTGAGGGTATGGCTGGAGAACCTGTGGGATAATACTCTCTTCTTGTCCTTATAAGAGAATATTTGGTTTTCAGTTCAGCTGATGTTTGTTCTTCAAACAGCATGTGGAAACATTCCCTGAAGATGCATTTAAGTATGAATACAGCACCTGTGTAAATTTAAAATTCGTAACTGACACCATCTCATTTACATATCACTTCATTTCTGATAAAGATCACCATGTAAGCATGGCATTTCTGCTAAGTTTTGGAAGGAAAAGCAATACATGGTAATGTGGATGGACTAGCCTGCACCTGCACGATGGCAATTTGAGGAATACTGCTCTCCTCACAGCTGCACCATCATCTACCAGGCAACCTTCTGAGGATTGCTGACAAGAATCTCAGAGGATTGCCAACAGCTAAATGTGCGTGCTCCTTACAGAGCAAGGCACCTTCCCTCACCTACATTGCAGTAAAAGATGAAAAGATCTACAGTGAAAACATGAAGAACATTAAAGCTACTCCTGCCTGCAAATCAGAGTGAGGATTTACCATTTAACCCTAGTAGAACAGTGGCCGTGGAGGAGCAGGCCTTCAGACACGGAGGTGCTGGCTCTGTCTGAAGTCCCCCTGCTACATGGGGGCTGTTTGGGGTACCACCAGCCTGCCTCATTCAGCATTGTCTCCTGGCTAGAAAACCTGAAGCATCACAGCTGGTTGTGCTTTGTGCAATGCTTCAGCTCTGAGGGAGGTCTATGCTTTTTTAGTTAGACAATAAATCTTCAAGCAAAATTTCACGTGCAACATAGAGACAACTTGCACAGTTGACCGAGCAGTCCAGTTAGTTACTTTACTCTTTGTCTCTTCCAAGTTATCCAAAAGTACTTTTAACAAAGCCTGGAACCAAACTGAAGCTGGGACCATATGTCAAACACACTTGGAATCCTCTGTCAGGAGTGCCTCTCTGTGACAGGTTGTGTTCAAAAATTGAAGTCAGCAGAAGATTACATTGCTCTTCTTGGAACAGTTGTCTGGAATGGTAGATTTGTGGAGGTAAAAACTCAGTCCTGCTTTCAAATAGAAAGTCACAGTTTTTAGCAAGTGTCAGCCGTTGACAGCAAGCATAACTGGTGATGGAGGGAAAAGAGTGTTGAGATTGGAATCCAGCCAGGCAATACAACCAGCTGCATCAGACTTCAAGTTCTTTAAAGTAGTGTGGAGAGGAATGCATCTAGGCTTGTGACAGATGCAGACCTGAGCTCTGCTTCCTTGCAACATAGCTGAATCTTAATAAAACCCAATTCATGTCATGACAAGCATTCTACTTCTGAAGAGCAGCAACATGTACTACAGCACAAGCTGCTTCCATGTCGTAAAAATTGGTGTTAACAAAGGTGATGCCTTTAATCCACAGAGATTTCTACTTTGTTATTATGGGAATGAGAAGAAATAGCCTCTAAGCTGTTTTCACAAGGAAAGACAAATCCCTCGGTTATACAGGATCTTCATTGTACTTCTCAGACTATGCAAACTTAAGTGGTCAAAATGTTGTTATAGTGTGTAAATTCTTGGATTTATTTAATTTGGAGTACGTATTATTATATACAAACCATTAAAAGAATGAATTTGTAGGAGATGTTATCACTGTTTTCTCTTGAACTTCCTCACCTTTTAAGGACTCACATAGATGACATCGCTTGCTTTCCTTCCACAATGCTGCCAACTTATAAATGTCCACACATGGGAAATGTTATTTAAAGTTCTTATTGCTCTGATTGACACATCTGAATACAAATCAAAGAACTATATTAAAAAATAATCTTCCCTTATATTTCTTCTTAGTTTCTCCTCCTTGAGCACACTACAGATCTGCTCACATCTTGTTATCTTAAAATACATTTTGCAGTACTTACACTTTGCTTTGACAGAACACACTTTGTAAGGATGTGAGGGACACAAATGAGATAATATTATATCTTCTCCCATTGAGAGGATTTCTGTTCGCTTCTTTTTCAAAGTAAGGACAACATGCTCAGTCGTCTTGACACCAGGTACTCTACACAGATTGTAACTATCCTTTTCCAGAGTAACAGTCCTAACTGCAAGAGAACTGACTCTGCGTAGTAATGAATAGTTTGCCACCTTCTGTCTCCTTTCTTCTGACAGCCTTTGTCTTTTTAAAGACAAGAATTTATTGCAGCTTCTCTTTAATACATGCTATAATCACTGTTTAAATCTTGCTTTGCTTCTTCTGTGAAGCTGCTTGTAAATATTTAGTTGAAATGTGTTCACTTCCACACCATCAACCTTATTTTGAATCTGAGCTCAAGAGGTGGGGAGAGTACCAAGAAGTCCAGGCCAAGCCTTAAAAGCATTCTAAATCACTGAAGTCACTATTTAGTCTAACTTTTCTTTTTCAAAGCTGGAGTGCCAGTTGGCATTTTCCCTAGTATGTGTTGTCTTCATACCTTTTTATTGCTCACTTAACAGTAACTAAAATAATCTCAGGACTGCAACACAGCACAACGTACGGACAGAGCACTAATTTAAAGTCTGTTCATTCAACTATGGATAAAAACTTAGAAGTGCTGGACTTCATACTTGCGTCCCAAAGGGCCAGCACCATGAAGCACAGTAATATTTTCTAGGAAAAAATAAACAACCCAATGCTGCAGAAAAAGAAGTCTTAATTTCAGGTCTTTTTGGTGCTGTTACATTTCCGAAGATGCTTTCCCTGAAAAACCATCAGTCAGGAAATACAGCACTTGCTAAGCGTGCAAGAGCTACAGAATAGTAGCAATGACACAACCTCTCCATAACTTGAAACTCTCCCTGATCCATATTCTTGACACTGAGATCTGGAAAGTCCTATCAAGGAGAACAGACTGGAATCCCATTCCTGCAGGAGCTGAACTGCGTGACCCACTCCAAACTCTGCATTCACATCTGACAGATGTTCGTCACCTCAACCACTATGGAATTTCCATGAGGTACTCAGATTGTCTGTTCCAGCACTTTGCTAACCATATGTGTTTGCCAGTTTCAAATAATGTCCAATTTCTATCTTCTCTGTTAACCAAAACCTGTTAATGCTTCTGTTTCTTAGCATCAGGGTGTTTTGTGTTTATATTCCAATATTAAGTTCCCCTTAAGGAAAATACAACATAAAACAGAACCGTAGAGCAGAACAGAACACTGATGGTTCCTTTCCTGCCCTCATACAGACTCTCCATTTATTTTTCTTTCAAGTACAGTTCTCAAAACTGAAAACTGAGTCTTCTAATGACAAGTGGAAAAGGACTACTACATGTATTTTACAGGATCTACTATATACTACAAATCCCATGTGGTGGTGGCTGCATTTCTTTATTCTTTGAACAGCATGATCCTGACCTATCATTTTCAACTCCCCATGTTCCTGTACAGCTGCCCTGTAGCTTGGTCTTCCATAGCATTTACCTGCAGAGCTTCTTACCCATGTATGTTACCATCCCTTTAGGGAAGGAAATTTAATAATCAGCCTTCTGCCTCCAAGTTCCTCTTTAAAGAAAAAGAAAAAAAACAACCAACAACCTTCTAAGAGCCTACCTAGTCAAGACAGAAGACTTTATCATTTAAAGACAGTTTAAATTCCCACTTCTTAATTATTGGATTATACTGAATCCAAACCCAGTCTGGCTCAAGCAGCAATGCAGCCAAAAAAGAAATCTTGCCCATCCATTTCTTTGATGTTGACGCTACTAATTCCTCACCTTCACAGTAAACTAGAGAAGGGAGTTAATTTCTGAAAATACAGGGTCAAAATCAAGGTAAAAAACCTACAAAATTGATTTAATACATGCTGTAATTAAATCAAAGTTATCTTAGATTTATCACATCTGCAATTGACTTCAAGTGCATCTCTCAGTGCCATTCTTCCTACTTTTAAAAAACACACAAAAACCCATCAAGTATAGTTTATCATTTAATAGAAAAAACATTGCCAAAAGCACAACAGTTTCATCAAGAGTTATCAAACGCTGTGCTAGGAATTAATTTTGCAGTTTAAGAGTATAACGTTAAGTCATCAATTTTTAAAAAGGAATTTATAACTATTTGAAGTTGCACACATCAAGGGAAGCAACACCATGACTTGAGGAACAAATCCCATTCATAATTAAAACAAATAGGAGCTCCATTTACACAAAAAATACAAATATCAGTACCGTACAAATATACCTCAAAAAAATTTTAATTATCTGAGCAAGCACATCCTAATTTGTTTCCTCACACTTGCTGTTTCATAATGCTATTTTGCAGAGTTCTTTGTAACCTAGCTATATTGGCATCCAATGCTGCTAAGCCATTCTTAAAGTCCTCTTCATCTCGAGAAGTAAATGTTGAGAAAGAAGATACACTCCATTCAGATTTCCCTGATATATCATCAAATGAAATAAAACTGACATCACCTACTTCACTGCCTTTTTTCTGAGAGATCTCTTTCTGAAATAGCATTGGAACATGAGGCTGAAGTTGGCCTGGTTTGTCTGGGACGTCTTTCGTAACTCCACTCAAAGCGCCTTTCGGCCTCACTTGGACTTTGTCTCCCGACTTCACTTTATCCCCTGTTATTTCAAGTGTGCTTTCCATTGCCTTTTTCATGCTGTACCCAGCACTAAATGTATCTAGAATAGTTGGATCCTTTGACACTTCACTTCTATTTTGTTGCACGGAGTTTGAGAGCTCACAGTTGTAGTCCAACATTTTACAAGCTCCTCTCATATGAGGTAGTGCATTAGTTCTCTCAGAGACAAGCTGTTTTTTAGAGGCACTGCTAGTCAATGGAATATAAACAGTCTCATCCAACTTGTTTTCTTCATCTATTAAAGTCCCAGAATCACTAGCTGTTTCTGCATCTTGCTTCAGTAAGGTTGGTAATACTCTGGATGCTGATGCCCGTTCTTCTGAGAATATATGGTTTATTTTAGTTCCCTCACCAGCAAACTTTTCATAGGCTTGATTTAGCATTTGTAACTCTCCGTCTTTATTTGAGAACTGAAGCTCAGCATCTATCAAAACATGATCCATTTCTAACTTTTTAAGGTAAGTCATTACTGAAGTATTCCCAGGACATGGATCGGGCTGCATCTGTTTCTCATGGTCATTCAAGAGAGACTTCGAGAGACCTTTTTCAGATGTGGGTCTACTGTTGTCTGCTGTGAGGTCTGACAGAAGCTTGGCCATACTGCCCTGCAAGGTTCTGTTAAGAGAAAATAAATTCATCAGACCAACTATAGTTTTGGCAACTTTTTCAAGAACTTGTATATAAAACAAAAATCAAAACATTAGGTTTATCTGACTGCAGCAAAGTTGCAATTCTCTTTCTATCATAAAATAACAGATGTGAACCGATCTAAATTTCTTCCAATTCATTCTTCAGCTCAGAAAAACGTGCCTTGTGCATCTCACTGACATTACTCAAAGTTTTTCCAAATTATCTCTTCCATTGTTTCTTAAGAAAAAAATATAATAAAAGAATCAATTATTCTCATTTTCTGCATAAAAAAATAAACACATAATGCTTTTATATATATGTGCGTGTGTGGGTGCACATTATATAGCATATATATAAGCACATAATAAGACATCATTATACTACCATCTGGTGGTCAGTATTTAATAACCACAGAAAAGCGTAATATGTCTGAACTTTCACTAGAGAATCTGAAATGATGAATAAAAACATCCTGTCACTCCAATCAGCATCAACTCTTGCCAAGACAGAAAACAGTTCAGACTCCTCTGCATGTTATGTCCAAGACAATTTTATGTACACACTACTTCGTGTGTGGAAAGCTCTGTGAACCTCCAAGCTTGTCACCAGATTTATAGAACATTGTGATGAAATAAACTGCACGGCAATAGCTCTAAAAAAAAGAGTCTGAGTAACAACAGCCTTCCTTCAGTGATAGAAATTCTCCCACCCTCATTCATAATTAAAATCTGGGCATAATCTAATCCAAGGGCGTGCACAATTAAGTAAACGACTGCTCCATCTCACAGAAAGAGTTTTCTTTGAAGACAGATCTTTTTGCAAGTTCTTCTAATTAAAGACTGTTTTCAGAACCAGCATAAGGGAAAAGAACAATCTCTCCATCATTCATATCAAAAGTTAGTTTCCTAATTCTAAAGCTGCTTGGGAAATATCAGTTAGTATTCAGACCCATGCATTCCCCACGCAGCTCCTCACAGGCAGACTGCTACAGGTGTTAAGACTTCACCCAAGTTACTTCAGCTAGCATCTTAAAATGGAACTAAAGTAATGAAGCACAACAGATCTGTTTCAATAGAATTATAGCACTACAGTAGCAAAAGTATGTACAAAGAGAGGTTTCAGCCTACATGACCTCCTACCATGAAGATACTGGTGTAGGACTAAAGATAACAATAATTTGAAGTATGGAAAATTACAAAGCAATGCCAAGAAGCAAAAATAGCACTTCACCATCAGTACCTGGTTAACTCACGCAGTCGATTAACTTCTGCATCACACTGACGTAACGTTATGCCCAAAATCTTATTTTCCTTTTCAGAAGCTTCCAGCTTAAACTGAAGGCTCTTCACATTTGCTAATGCTTCCTCCATTTCTAAAACGCCAAGAAGAAGAATTTAGCTAATTACTCAAGTTTAAAAATGCTAAGAGTAAACAAATCTGAAACACGTACCAATCTTGACCTTGGTGGAATGAATATCATATTGCTGTTTGTTTTCAAGCAATTCCTTTTCCTTCTCCTGAATATCTTTTGCAAGATGCTTATTTTCTTCCTTTTGACTTTCTATTATTTTCAGTAGCTCTTCATTTTTAGCCTGCAGTGACTCAAGGCCTTTCAGTGATTCTTTCAGTTGAGTGTGGAGCATCACATTCAAGGATTGCAAAGAAGCCACTAACAGAAGTAAACATACAACTTTAAGTGTTTTGTGTGCTACAGTTTGGATTTCTATACTGAATAATGTTTCTTAAGGAATCTTGGTAACCTGACTACAGCTCACAGATAAAATGAGTCTTTTGAGGAAGAGAGATAAAACATACAAGCTTCCTTCTTAGTTTTCTTAGTTATCTGTCATCCTCATTGTAGGACAGACACACACACAAAAAACTCTGCTCTGGAGCTGAACCCCCGAGTTTCAGCATCCATGGAGCACAAGTAAAACAACCCATGCAAACACAGTCACACAATTAGATCCTCAGCACTTAGCTCAGTTGCCACTAAGGCCCAGAATACATATTGTTGCTATTAATCATATCTATATATGTCTACATTAATTTAAACGAAGTCTTAACAAAAATGCCCCAGCAACCATCATTCTTTGCTAGTACTTTACATTCATAGTTGCAGCTCTGTCCAGATGTCTTCTCATTCCTCTCTTGTTCCCTGAGTTGCTGATTTAAAATTCTTAGTTTCCTAAACGTGAATTGTGAAAAAGAGCATATTCAGAAAATTCAGGACAAATTCAAAACTAATGCACTTTAAATTAGTAAGAATATAATATCGCAGAATGTTTTACAAATATGAAGAAGATTAATTTAATTTTTTTTGTTGAATATCATCTTTCCTCAATACCAAATACTGTTAATACTTCAGTCTTCAGACAGAATGATATGCCAACACCACCTAGACAAAGCCTCAATCTTGATGTAACTGATGTACTAAAATATTTTCTTTCAGCATCTATGCATTAATTAACATAATACAGCCTTACCAGCACATTTGGTAACATATTAATACTGCACAGACAAAATAGAAAGGGCCACAACAATTACACCACAACAATGCTAGAGCATGCAATTTAGAACAGACCAAAGATCTTTTAGGCATTTTTTGCAGTAACTACAGTTACTAACCTACGCAGCTGGGCGTTTTCACTTCTGAGAGGCTGTAAAGCTAGAGCTATCTCAGTCTGTATGTTTGTACTTCCCACTACAGCTGGCAGCAATGATATGCAGTCTTCTATTTCATTCATCAACCTTAACATTTCTGAATCATCTGCAAGAGGTGGGGGAAAAAGAAACACCTGTAATAGAACAATCAAAATGATGCCATAGTATCTCATTTTCTTCTAAATCAAACTTTAAAAACAGAACTTAAAACTGACCGACTCTCTTTCTTTATTTAAAACTTTAAAGCTTGACTAGGAAAGCTACACTTCAGGGTCTTGATACAACACCACCCAACACCTCTCAGACCAACCCTGGTAGGATTGCTGTTGTATCATCTGTCCACACTGCTCCTTTTGGCAGGGGAAAACATTGTATAGAAAATGAGAACTGTCTCGATCCCCGCTGTTATAATGTTATGATCACCCAAAATGTAACCTCATACATTCCCACAGTGAATCAGGAAGTGATTGAAGTTGTGGAACACCACTCCAAGGCAACCTACATTCCAGAAACTGAAGCGCATGCTCACTTAGTGCAACTCTTCCATTATTTTATATCATCACTATAGTGCACAAAGAAAATGCTTTTACCTTGGTCTGTTATCAGTGCTCGGAGCTCTCCCAAAAGATATTTTACCATCTTTACTTTATGGGCTGCTTTATCTGCACTTTCTTGTCTAGGTTTGAGACCTTTCTTTACACAGCTTTGCTGGCTGTTTGCATCTCTTGCTGAGGCCACATCAAGCACATTCAATTCACCTTCGCTGACCACGTCCTCACTGTGTTCTTCAGAAGCATCCTCATCGTTACTTGAGACGTTACATGCTGTCAGACAATGACAGAGCTTCTGTTCAGTCCTGCCATTTGCCATTTCATGCTTTTGTAACAGGGCCAGGTGAGCTTTTATGCACCTTATCAAGTCTGCTTCTTTACTCTGTTGCTCCTGCCTTGAGGTCATCTCTCTGCCAGAAGACAACGGGGTGAATGTAGGCACTGCAGAGTTACTTGATGCACCTGATGCTACATAACACATCACACCAGGAAGAGAATTGGCAGCCTGTATTTTTGCAGGAGTGGGAGCAGCAGAAACCATGGGGAAAACCACAGTTTCTCCCATCTGTGGCACACACTCATTGCCACTATCTATAGAAACACCCTGCATAAAGAAGATTCACATTAAACAGAAAATTAACATGATTTACATTTGATCTTAAACATTACTGATAACATCAAAGCAGTTTAATCTCTGTTGTGTAAGAAAGAAAAACTCAGTAGCTGTTGCTTTTTCTTTTTTTTCCTAACTATTCATCCCTTTTAACCAAATCAGAACTGGAAAAAAATAAAAAGAACACACTTATGTCTCAGTATTTTAAACTGATGTATTTCTAAAAAGTCAAGGATAGCACTAATTGCACATGGACTGCCTATAGGTGGAAGATAACTCTACAGCCTTCCAGATCCAAAGTGCAAGCCCATTACCACATTTCCCAAGGTGGATGCTGGTACTCTCCATTAGTTTTATTTTATGCTCTGAAATACACACAGATTTTAAAATGTGGCTCTAAGATTCTACTCAGTATCTGAAGACATAATTAATTAGAACATTATTAGGGGAAAAGCTGCATATGAGATTCAATTTCTTTAATGAGGAGTTGGTTAGAGATTCTTATGTGCATTACTGATAATATAATTCTGAACAGTAATGAGTAATTTCCTACACTCTTTCATGCTTCCTGTCCATTACAGAATTCCCCATACAGAAACAGCCATTTGAAACACCTCCATTTTACTCTTTGGTATCCATGTATATAACATTTTGAACTGCAATATTTTGTCATCATCTTTTATCAGTACAGTTTGAAATATGCTGAGATTTTTCATCATGAAGGAATTAAATAAACTCAATAAAATCCTTTCAAATCAGTGTATAAATAAATAAGCAGTGCTATTTTAAAATGCTTATTAATAATCTAAATCAAACTTCTACTTACGGCCTGAGTAGATAAGGGATGAGCTGCATGCTGCAGGGACAGATCTGCTGTGGAGACAGATAATTGGTAATTAAAATCTGTAACATTTTGATATCCTAAAAGAAAACAATGCTGTCACAGATTAGGGCAACCTGGGGCAAAACTTGGAGTACAGCAGCAAGCCCTACATTGATAGTCCCACTAACCATGATCTGAGGTAGGAAACGAAGTCACAGTAGGAATTTCATTATTGCTCTGTGATGGCTGGCCAGTTATCAGAGCCATCTGGGTTGGCACATGCTCACACAATTTCTCACGTATGACAGGAGACTGCTGGCTGCAAGGCACATGAGTTGGTCGAATCAGCTGGTGCTGTGCTGCACTGGGAAGCTCTTTCTCAGTAGATGGTGTTGTAGATGAAAGAAGTTTCTTAGCTGATATTGGCACTAAAGAAAGAGAACTTCAGCTGAATGTTTTGTTCTGTCTCCTGGATCTACACAAGGCATGGAGTCTTTCAATATTGTTTGAGAAAAAAGGAAGCCTGAGGAAATCTGCTTACCAATTTCTTTTCGGATGTGGGGAGCAGTAATGCTTTTCTTCAATCCTTTCTTCTTCAGAGTATTTGCTTTGGTTAGCAAAGGTTTGGAAGTAATTTTAACAGTTGTTGTTTTCCCTGGTTGTTTATGGATAGTCTCCTTCCCTATTGTATTCAAAACAAAAGCTGGTCAACCAAACAAGTTGCAACAGCTCTACAAAAACTAGAAATGTAACTTAAATTCTCAATAGTTACAACCTGTAGCTTCATTTTCTAGGATATTCTTCAGTAAAGCTGCACAGCGGTCAAGTCCATTATGAATAGTATTAACCTGCACACAGAATACCTCAGTCAGAAAATGAGCATCACTGCTTTCTTTCAATAAAACAGAGCCCTTTCAGAGGGGGCTGTTCCTCGCACTGTTATCTTAAAAATAATAACAAAAAATTGATCATAGGAAAAACGTTTAGTTTCCAATGTATCACTTTGCAATCACACGAAAATCTGCAAACAGAATTTTTGCAAAAAGCTTAAATTGCGTTGTTGCATGTGTGCCCATTTGTTTGGTTTTACTTGTTGATAACTGCACTTGTGTTTGTTTTAGTTGTTTCCACTTACAGTTAAGCTATTACCTACAGCACGTTTCTAAGTTTGGAAATGATCGATTCAGCACTACTCACAAAGCACTACTGCAGCATTGCTTTCATACAACTTATTCTTTATATCACAAAGCAAAACTGTGGTTACACTTCTGGCAGTACAAACAGCATAGGTGTGTTCACACAACACATTCCATGCCTTAATAAACTGTCAGAGCCAAACTTACTGCCGAGGCAATTCGCAAGTATCTGCAGCATTCTGTATAAATACTCTCAGTGGCTTTGAAGGAGTTTCTTCTAGACCACATCCAGCAGTATCTAATTTGGTATGTTTTCTCTTCAATTGTTGCAGGGTAGATTTAGGTTGGATATAAGGAAAAAGTCTTTTGCAGTGAGGGTGGTGAGGCACTGGAGCAGGTTGCCTGGTGTTGTGGTTGATGCTGGAGACTTCCAAGGTGAGGCTGGATCAGGCCCTGGGCAACCTGCTGTAGCTGTGGTGTCTCTGCTCACTGCAGGGCAGTCAGACTGGATGGCTCTCAGTGGGGACCCCTGAGAATTCCAACTCTAAGGATCCTGTGATTTGATTCCAGTCTCCATTCTCTCTAGATAACAGATGTGACTGCATTAAGAAGCCAGGGAAATTACCTGATCGTCAGAATCAGTGGAATAGAGACAGTATGCATCCTCCACATCAGAACGACATCCTTTTCTTAAGCCAGGCCTAAAAAAAAGGTCAAATTCACCGTTCAAACAATTCCAAAGCCACTTGTTCGGCAGCCGCGACTCGAGCCTTACTGTTTCCTTCCATTGCTTTGCTTTGCTGCTCCCGTCAGCCTTCCAGAAGACAGCGCCTGCTGGTGACACAAACACAGAAACACCCGCTCGCTTTCGCACTACGCGCTGTTTTCACCCGCTGCTTTCAGAGGGGACGGAAAGCTCCTCATTGAAACGCGGCCCGCGGAGGCGAGGCTGCAAAACCACAGCCTAACTCCGCTCCCAGCGAGCCCCCACCTCCCCAGCCCAGCCCGGAGGCTCAGCCGGTGCCCGCCCTGCCCGCCGCCCCGCACGCACCTTGCAGGGCCGCGCCGCGCCCGCCCTTCCCATGGCCATGGCTGCCCCCGAGCCGCGCCGCCGACCGCCGCCGCGGGGGAGGAGCCGCCGCCCCCACGCACCAATCCGCCGCCCGCCCGGCTGCCGGCCGTTGGGAGGGGGGCGGAGCTTCCGTTAACCCCGCCCCTCCCGGCGCTTTTCGCCGAGTGGGAAGGAGGGGATTGGTGGAGGGTGGGAGCCAATCGGAGGAGAGATCAGGAGGTGGGCGTGGCGGCGCCGCATCCTCCGGCTGGGGGTTCCGCCTTGCCCTGCACGCGCGTGGTGCGGCGCGTGCCTCAGCTCGTGCGCGGTCCGGTCGTAGCGCGATGTCTGCTCCTCTCGGGAGCTCGGAGCTGCGGGTCCTGCGGGGCGGAGGCTCTGCACCCACAAAACACACCGAGAAAGGGGTTTGCGGGTGCGTAGCCCGCCCTGAGGGAACAGTTTTGCAAGGGGCGGGTCGTAAATCCGCCCGCTAATCCGCGTCCTGCCAGCCTTCGGGGCACCGAGGTAAGCGGGCTGGTAGCGAGCCAAACGAACCGCCTGCAGGCCAGAAACAGCCTGTGCTCTTAGCTGGTGTAAAGCCTCCTTAGAAATCTGAGGAGAGATCAGAAGGGCTTCAAAAGACACTTAGCAAGAAACTAAGTTGGTGTTTTTTCTTGCGGTGGTTTCTCACTGAACGCGAGCCATGAAGGGCGTTACAAACAACCGCGGGGGAACAATGGCAGTGAACGCGTTGCTGAGAGCGCGCTGCTGAAACCGAGCAGCTCGTTGCTCAGCGTTGCAAGAAGTGCCTCAATCACTATAAAAGCGCTGTGAGAGAAAGCAAGAGCCTAGTAGAGAATTGTATAGTTCGATATAAACGCGATGAGAAGTTCGAGCAGGGTGTTACTGAGACCGCAATTGGACGATTTCAAAGCAGGTTTTAGAACAACCAGCCAAGCGGATCTTCCATCAGCGTTAATCGGGTATGCTTCCATTTCAAGCACCGTACTGCTTGAAAGCTGCGATACGGAAGAGCCGCAGCCTGGGCGCTCCGCAGAAGCACTCATCGCGTTTTGGTCGTTGGATGCCTTGGGAAAGAGCAGCAGCCCCGGCAGAGCGCGTGTCGCGCTGGGCACGAGCTCGGGTGCATGGCTCGTGCCGGCCGCCAGGTGGCGCCACCAGAGCAGGGAATGGCGGCATTCCATTGACTCCCGACCGAAACGTGGATTTACAGGCATGCTCGAATGCTTTATTAGTGAAAGAATACGCATGAAAACAGTAACCAGAAGACCTTTCTGAGATATGAATTAACGACGGTGTACACCTAACTAATCACAGCAGCTCAGCAACTCTGCTCTCTCCCATCATTTATAGAAAAATCACAAACCTGCTTTTCTCTGTGCTGTGGCTAAAAGAATCCAGGTAGCAAAGCATTTAATACTATGAGGGATATCTTGGTCCCTTCCTGATTCTATAGTGAAATGCTACCAGTCCAGCAAATACTGTCACATTACTTACACGTACTTTGACATAGCTGGGTAAAGCCTGCCATCTTCCCATACAGACTATCAGTGGCCATTATGTCCAAAACCACCACCTGCCACTTGGTTTTCTTAGTCAGGGAAACGTGAACAGAAAGCATATGTTACTGTATTTCTCTCATTCTTGGTTTTCTTTGATTGTATGAATGTGAGGTAATGGTGAAAAGACACTGACCTGTTTCCTGTGACACAAGTTTGCTGTAGTCCTTTAATTAACTATACAAAAATCAGCATGAATAAGAACTAGCAAGACAGAGCCAGGATATTTCTCATCATGTGCTGAGTGATGCTGGAAGCAAAGGAACTCTTCTAGGTTTCTCCTCATAGCTAAGGAAACTACACTTCAGAAACAAAAAGAAAACTTCACTACAGAAACTTCTTTAGCAAGTCATTAGGCGAGGCTACAACTCTGTCAGTGATTCTCCACCTGCCTTTCCCAGTGTTTAATCTGTTGTGAATTGTCTGGAGACAAAAAAGATGAGTAGCCTGCTACACATATATTGGCTCCTTTGGTCACTGAACAAGTATAGTGAATTCCCTTATTGTTAAAAAAAATATTTCTTTCTGACAAGAAACAATGCCTGGGTGAGTCAATGATACTATCAGAACTCCTGATTGCTGTGTCTCCTATTTCAACACCAACATTAACTCAAAAATCACAATGCAACACCTTCATCCAAGTCAGTGTAAAAGTATGAACAAGTTTACCACTCCAATTTGATTACACACCAGGGCTAAAAACTCCAGCCAATTCATTTCTTCAGTAAAAAAACATCCAATATTAATTATACTTGCAAATAAGTCTTCAGGGAAATAAACATTTTATGTAATCCCAAATTAGGCCCAAATACTTGAACTAGACTTGACCTTGGCATTTTGTTTTGTTTTCAAGTGTGCTGTGCTGATAAGGAGCTGGATATATAGGAAGCATTGGTGATATTAGGTTAACTGGATGCCTGAAGCACACAGGTGAATACAGTTAAGAAAGATTATAGCAAAAGTGTTTCATGAGGAAAATGTGGAAAGATGGAAGCAAATAGGGATTATAAAAGTTATAAAAGCATAGGTAAAATTAACAGGGTGTGTGCAGGAAATGATGCCTTCTGAACGTCTGGAAGGATGTTAATTTCATAGACGTGTGGCCTAAGTATAATTTTAAACCTTTTAAACACTTATTCATAATATTTCTTTGGCTACAGTGGTCTGACTTCGGTGAGCAGAGTATGAAAACTATCATTCTGCAGGCCCAAAGGAAGCACAGCTGAAGAAATAATCTACTTTCAACTATATAGAAACAGGTAATTCAATAATATTCATATACCCAACTGTATTTATATTAAGTGCACAGAGTATGGACATAAAGGTGAAGGAAGATTATCTAAACTGAAAAAGTAGTTATTGGAAAAATAATGATGGAATAATAAATATAATTTATTAAATATAATTGAAAGCCTATGTGACCCAGAAGTAGGGAACATATTTCCTGCTCTTTGATGCTGGACCTTTATGATCTGTGGTGTGATATTTTCCATTCTGGCCAAGGCACCTCTTCTTGGTGTCTGGTTTACTGGAGGAATATCATCATAGGCTGCAAGAGACGTAAAATAATTAAGACACATAGCATCAACCTTAAGAAAGTCAAAATAAAGAAGGCAAGCTGAAGTCTCTCCTTTCACTCTGAGGCTAGATATGTGGTGCCTTTGCCCTTCCTGGTAGAAGTTAAAATAACCTTCATCTGAAGAAGTCCATCATTTCCATAGGACACTTTACCTGCCACATCCTGGTGGCTTGAACTGCCCTGGCCTTCCTAGAGGCCAAGATGACCCTTCTCAGCTTATCCTGGAGCCCCATTCCAGCAGTGCCATAGCATGTTGGTCTCCTGCTCCACCCAAACCTTGCCCTACTTGGCCGTTGTCTCTCTTGACCCCAGTCTGCTGACTGACTTCTTGGCTTTACCTTGGATCGTCCTGGTGTGTTGTGTTTCACAATATTTCAGCAACTCTCATCTAAAGTCTTCAAGTTGATCTTTCCGGAAATATGATGCCCAAAACTACACAAAATGGATCAGCAGAGACCTCACTAATGTTGAAAATAGCAGAGGGATTATATCAGTTGGCTATAAATGATATCTCTGTTTATATTTCCCAGCACAGTGTTTTTAACTGTTATTGATCTTGCGTTTCACAGTAATTCTCAAAACTTTTCCTGCAACATTATGAGCTATTCAGTTATTCCTTGGGTTGTATAAATTGCTGTTGATTCCTGACTCGCTGTAAAAACTTGAACGCTCCCTATCTGAATAGGGGTCATTTCTCCACAAAATTAGCCAAGTATGTTTAAATACATTAAGAGAGTTTTTAATCTAGCTTTTACCTTCTAGGTCTGTGGATTAGAATCTATACCCTTTGATCTGCCCACATATAGCTGATACTACCCACTTCTCATGTGAAGCACTGTTACAATCAGAAAGATTAATGCAGTGGAAGGGCAATACAGGAACATAACAACAAAGAGACCAACAAAGAGACTAGCACAGATAGGAGGCTATTTCAAAAGAAAAGTAAAGGTACTGACCTGCCTCCAAAGAGTTAGGCTTACAAGGAAGGCTCCACAAAGGAAGAATTTCCAACCAAAAATCCTTCCCTAGTGGCAGTCAACCCTTAAAAGAGGTCTAAGAAGGGTGCAGCCAGGCTCCACCCTTTCCAGTTGCACACATCAATTGCCTTCACCTGTGCTCCCAGGGCTGACTAGGTCCTTTTCCCAGCTGCTCAATCAGTGGTTCAGGCCATGACTCAACAATTACCATACAAGTACTTTCCCTTTCTTCTATGCATCAGCAAAATAATAACACAGGCATTTCAATTTTCATTTTGAGTCAGTGTTAGCACCTTATTATGGTAGCTAAGTTTCATCAGAAGACTTTGTAAGAAACATGAAGTATACTGCATATGGTATACTGCTTGGATATTCCAGTTTAGAGTTGTTGCTGCAGTGGATTGGCTTCAGAAAATGTCACGATGCTTTGTTTTCTCCCTTTCATTCTCTTAGTTTCTAGAGTTATTACTTATCCACAGCTTTATTTCCACCTTTGTTCTCAGACCAGCGGAAATGACCTTCAAGGGTCTCTTCCTACTCAAAGAGTTCTAGGATTCTATGATTCCTTAACATGACAGGTAGAAATATATTGACAGAGATAGAAACTGAACTAGATATCTAACAAAGAAGTGGTGTAGGTTATAATGTACTAATATGAGAAAGTAATTACAAAAATCTACAATATTTCCCTATGAGAGAAAAGCTGAAAAGCTTTTGCCTCAGTATGTTATCATTCCCGTAGCCTTCCTTTAGGTTTAAGGGACACTGATGCCTTAGATGTATCCTAAATAACTTCCAGCAGTAGCTAGCAATATGTCCTTATATAACTTTAGTCTACAAATTAGGTAGAAATGGTTATTTTATTTCTGTATACAATTTTTTTCTCCTTTCCTTGTGCTTTCATTTGAAATCCCATTTTG